CAGACGCAACGGTGCTGTCCGTTTTTCAAAATTCTGTTCAAATTTTTAATCATACGGAAAATCAAAACTATTTAGAAGGTGAAAACGACCTTTGAGGAGTCAACTTCATCTTCCGGATCTATGATTATGCTGTAAAGACCTTTTTGATCCAATAGAGATGAAAGGTATTAATCTTGACCCGGATAAGTCAACGTAGTGGAAGAAAATTAATAGAAAAACTATTGGTCAAATCCGACAATGGATTGACCATAATGTCTTCCACCATGTTGCACAAGAGACCGACGCTTATGCCCTTTGGAAGAAGTTAAAAGATATGTACCAGGCCAAGACCGCTAGGAACAAGGCCCTACTAATGAGGCGCCTTGTCAATATGAAGCTCATAAGTGGAACTTCTGTTGCCGAACATACTAGTCAATTTCAGAGTCTCGTAAATCAACTATCTTGTGTAGAAATGCCACTTGGAGATGACAAGCAATCTCTACTACTTCTTAGTTCCCTTCCTGATAGTTGGGAGACACTAGTTGTTACTCTCAGCAACTCAGCCCCAGATGGCAAACTTACCATGTCTGTGGTCAAGGATGCACTGTTCAATGAGGAGGCAAGAAGGAAAGACATGAGCACAGATGAGACTCATGCCCTTGTGACGGAGAATCGAGGAAGATCACAAGGAAAGCAACAAAGAAACAGTGGAGGAAAGTGGCAAAGCAGAGACAAAAGTCAGAGGAGATCATCAGATGGCCGGAAACCTTCTTATACCTGCCACCATTGCGGTATAGAGGGTCACATGAAGAAGAATTGCTACAAATTGCTAGAGGAGCGAGGGAAGAGAAATTCACAAACGAAGAACAAAGGTGGTGAAGCGCTCATCACAATCTCAGGTGATGTAGCGTACTGTACTGCCAATGATGAAACATGTTTGCACTTCTCAAGAGAGGACACCGAATGGGTGGTAGATACTGCAACATCTTACCACGTTACTCCCCACATGTACTATTTCACAACTTACAAAGCTGGAGACTATGGAGCGGTGAAGATGGGTAATTCAAGTTCATCTGCAATAGCTGGAATTGGTGATGTACAAATAAAGATAAATAGTGGGAGCACAATCACTTTGAAGGATATCATACATGTTCCAGACCTTCGGTTCAATCTCTTGTCAGTGGTATGTCTTGACGAACAGGGGTATGAAAACCACTTTAGCAGGGGCACATGGAAATTGTCAAAGGGCGTTTTAACAATCGCTCGAGGACATGTTTGTGGCACATTGTACAAAACTCATTTGAGGATTTGTACGGATAGCATCAACATTGCTGAGGAGGTTTCTCAGGATTTGTGGCACCTGAGACTCGGTCACATCGGTGAGAAAGGGTTGACTACCTTAATGAAGAAGAACCTTATCAACATTGACAAGAATGATACACTTGGTCCTTGCAGTCATTGTCTATTTGGTAAGCAACATAGAGTATCATTTAGTTCTACTTCGACTAAGAGATCGGAGTTGTTAAGTTTGGTAAACTCTGATGTATGTGGTCCTTTGGAGGTGGAATCACTCGGTAGAAGCAGATACTTTCTGACTTTTATCGATGATGCTTCTGGGAAAGTGTGGGTGTATTTACTGATAACAAAAGATCAGGTGTTCGAGTGCTTCAATACATTTCACGTCTTGGTGGAACGTGAAACAGGAAAGAAGCTAAAATGTCTCCGATCTGATAATGGAGGCGAGTATACTTCCAAGGTATTCGATGCATATTATAGAACATATGGCATTCGACATGAGAAGTCAGTACCACACACCCCTCACCACAACGGCGTTGCTGAAAGAATGAATCGGACTATCATGGAGCGAGCCCGGAGCATGCTGAATATGGCTAAACTTCCAAAGTCATTTTGGGGAGAAGCAGTCAACACCGTATGCTATCTTATCAACCGATCCCCTTCAGTACCACTCAACTTTGAAGTTCCAGAGAGACTATGGACATGTAAGGATCCTGCATACTCACATCTTAGAGTATTTGGTTGTTCATCATATGCACATGTATCCAAAGAGCTCAGACAGAAGCTTGATGCAAGAACCATCCCATGCATTTTCGTTGGCTATGGAAATGAAGAGTTTGGATACAGGTTATGGGATTCTAAGGAGAAAAAAGTGTTCAGAAGCAGGGATGTTGTGTTCCATGAAGATTTGACAATAGAAGACATTGAAAAACCCACAATGTCTCGGAAGTCAAATGAGGGTGCTCAAGTTTCAAATGAAGCACCTGAATTGTTCTTGAGAAACAATGACGAAGTGCATGAAAAAAACTTAGAAGCGGAAGAGGATGAGGAGACAGAAGAGAGTGCAAAGCAAGGGGAGTCACAACCCATCTCGCCAGACACAGATGATGGTAGCTCTTCTCAAATGGTTCCTACTGTTCGTAGATCTGAACGAGGCCATATACCATCGAAAAGGTACACATCATCTGAATATCTTTTGTTAACTGAAGATGGAGAACTGGAGAGTTTTCAAGAAGCTGTGTCTCATAAGGATAAAGAAAAATGGATAATAGCAATGCATGATGAGTTAGAATCTCTGCAGAAAAATCAAACTTATGATGTCGTAGAACTTCCTAAGGGAAGAAGGCACTGAGAAACAAATGGGTGTTCAAGTTGAAGAAGGATGCAAGCGGACAAGTGGTGAAACACAAAGCTCGGTTGGTTATCAAAGGATTCCAGCAGAAGAAAGGAATTGACTTTGATGAGATCTTTGCACCAGTTGTCAAGATGACCTCAATTCGAGTTATACTTGGCTTGGCAGAAAGTATGAACTTGGAACTTGAACAGATGGATGTGATGACACCATTTCTTCACGGAGATTTGAAAGAAGAAAACTATATGCAACAACCAGAAGGTTTTGAGAACTCAAATGATAACTTTGTGTGTAAGTTATCTAAAAGTTTGTATGGCTTGAAGCAGGCACCAAGGCAGTGGAATAAGAAGTTTGACTCATGCATGAAGAGTCAAGGCTACAAGAAGACTACTGCAGATGAATGTGTATACATCAAGAAACTTCCAGACGGTACCTTCATTGCTCTTCTACTATATGTAGACGATATGTTGATCATTAGGAAAGATGCAGTGAAGATAAACCAGCTGAAGAAAGAACTCGTTAAGTCTTTTGATGTGAAAGACTTAGGACCAGCTCAACAGATTCTTGGGATGCAGATCACTCGAGACAGGAAGAATCACAAGTTATGGCTATCTCAGGAGAAGTACATTGAACGAGTACTTGAGAGATTCAACATGAATGATGCCAAACCAGTTAGTGTTCCACTTGCGAATCACTTCAAGTTGAGCAAAAGAACATGTCCTACATCCAAGGAAGAGATCGGGGAGATGTCAGCAGTTCCATATTCTTCAGCAGTCTGAAGTTTGATGTACGCCATGGTATGCACAAGGCCAAACATTGCACAGGCAGTGGGTACAGTGAGTCGTTTTCTCTCTAACCCCGGGAAGGAGCATTGGGAGACAGTCAAATGGATTCTCAGGTACTTGAAAGGTACCACGAAGTTATGTCTTTGCTACGGAGGAGCTGATCCAATCTTGGAAGGCTACATAGATGCTGATATGGCTGAAGATATTGATACTAGAAAGTCTACTTCAGGATATATCTACACTTTGGCAGGGGGAGCTGTTTCTTGGCAATCAAGATTGCAGAAGTGTGTCTTTTTATCTACAACAGAAGCAGAATACATTGCTGCCACTGAATCAGGTAAGAAAATGTTGTGGCTAAAGCGCGCTCTCCAAGAACTTGAGATCTAGCAGAAAGAGTACAAGGTACATTATGACAGTCAGAGTGCTCTAGACTTCAGCAAGAACTCCGTGTACCATTTTTGTACAAAGCATATTGATATTCGGTATCATTGGATACGGGAGACGATTGATCAACAACTGTTGAGACCAGCGAAGATCAATACAAAGGAGAATCCATCAGACATGCTGACAAAGGTGGTGACACGAGATAAGCTAGAGTTGTGCAGAGACATAGTTGGGATGCTTGTTTTGAATATGCCTGGAAGGGGAGAATTGAAGAATTCAATTTCCAGGACATATCCAAGTACAAGCAAATTGAAGAATCCGATTGCAACAACCATGAAGCTTCCTCCATGTGCAAGCAACATCCATGAAGCTTCCTCCATGTGCAAGAATGACAAAGGAAGCTTCCTCAACCACCATTGAAGTTTCCTCTTGTTTAATCTCACTTTCTTTCCACCTTCGTAGTACCTAGTTTTGGTGTTATAAATAGAGAGCTTGGAGAGTCTTTCTATCATCAACTAAATTAGATAATAGATCATCATAGCACAACCAAGTTTGAGTTGTGAATATCCTTGAGAGATATGTGAGGTGTTTTTGAGAGTTTTTAATTAGAGCTTGTATGTCTCTTATTTCTATTCTTGAAAGTAATAGAATTGTTTTTCTCTCATATTAGCACGATCATGTTATTCCCAACATCTTGTTCACTAGTGCAAATGCCCACGTGGCTTCAATTGTTGCTGATATAATTAAAAAATGTGAGAAAGCTTCCGGGCAGAAAATCAATCTAAATAAATCTCAAATACTAGTATCTTTTAGCAAGAATGTGTATCCTGATAAAAAGCTTGACATTATTAATTTGCTCCAGGTAGATGATGTAACACCCCCTACTCGACCCGGAAGTCCGAGCAGGGAGCGCTACCCACAGTGTCAGAGCACCAAAGCGTCTACTAACTATTATATTTTAAAATATCTCATTAATACTTTTCTTTCAAATCAACTAATGAAAGTAATTTTGTGAATGTTCATAATTGCGGAAGCATCTTTATTTTATACATGCCACATTATTGTTTAGTGTTGCTATTACATTATACTTGTAAGCTAACTACTAAAAAATGAGACATTTTAAAGGATCATTTCCAGTAAAAGATCGATCGATAGAGATGAGGCTTGCTTTAATCAGCACTCGTAGGAGTGCTGATTAAAATGTACCTGTTCAAACACGCTCCAGTTACGCTCACAACCTGAAGCACTACACGTGAGGCTAAGAACTCTCATGGCCAATTTTTGTAAGTTGGGAGTTGTGCTCCCATACAAGCGCCACCATTCAGCTGTATATATGACAAAAAAATCAGAATTTATTCATTATTATAATTGCTGCATTAATCTGGCGCGCAGATTGTATATATGACAAAAAATCAGAATTTATTCAAAGTATTAATTAAAAAACTGCATGTTACCTGGTGCCTTGGTCTTTCTTGTCAAAACTGCCAAGTTGATGCCAAACAAACCCTCAGCCCTTGTGTACTTTGACAGTTCATCAATAATAACAAGTTGTTCTTCATCCTCGGGAACCAGTTTAGCTATGCAAGCATACAGTCCAACCGTGACCTCACTATTGAATTCAATTTGCGGATCGGCATAAAAAAAGCGGGGTTGAGGTAATGGCCAGCTGCGTGCAGGGGATGGTGAAGCTGATCTTGCCATCTAGAATCAATGATTTTGAATGTTTCTTTATCGTTATCATCTCTCCCATTAAAAGCTTTTATTATGGCTTCTTTGGCTCTATCCATAGCCTCATAGATGTATCCCATAGCTGGTTTTCTTTCGTTGTCAACAAGTCGAAGAGTTTTCACAAGAGGGCCCATAAGTTTGAGTATGTAATAAGCATTATCCCAGAATGTAGGCTTCATCATACAGTCTTCGACTTGTTTTCCACCCGCCTCTTTTTTCCACTTGCTAGAATTCCATTCACTCTCGGAGAACATAGCCCGAAGATTAGCCTTTTGCTTGTAGATGCTCTTTAAAGTGAGGTAGCAAGTACATAATCTTGTCTTCCCGGGTCTGATCAGATTTCTTTGCCCTGTGTACCTCCTCATTAAGTTCAACAATCCCACACGGTTATAAATAAAACTAGTCAAACTCATTGCCCTTCTTAAGGTTTTCAAAACCAAAGGCAACTTCCCAATGTCTTCGAGCATGAGATCAATGCAGTGCGCACCACATGGTGTCCAATATATGTTTGGTCTCTTAGTTTCTAACAATTTACCACCTAACTTGAAATTAGGGCCATTGTCAGTAACCACTTGGACCACATTAGCCTCTCCTACATACTCAACAAATCCATCAAGTAGTTCTAATACCTTTGCACCAGTCTTTGAATATGCAGAAGCATCCACAGATTTGACAAACACACATCCAGCCAGAGAATGTACTAAGAAATTCACAATACATTGACCTGTGGTGCTAGTCCAACCATCTGCCATAATTGAACAGCCATGTTTCACCCACAGAGCTCTATGTTCAGCTAGCATATCCCGCATGTTGGCAACTTCTTTCTTCAAACTCGTAACCCTCACTTCATGGTAGCTAGGAGGCTTCAAATTTGGACCATATTGTCCAATTGCTTCAACGGCACATTTAAAGGAATGTGATCGGGCAACATTGAAAGGAATGCCATTATGGTAAAACATGTTGCATATGTATTGAATAGCTACTTCTCTTCTTTGCTTATCCAACTTCTCGTCAATCTTCAACTGTTTCAGTCTTCCTTGCTTCGAAGCTCGACCACAGTTTCTGGCTTTTTGTGGATAAAAGCATCCATAGGTCCTTTTATGTTTTCCCTTCTTTACAGGTGCCTTTCCCTTCTGTACATCACGAATTCTTTTAAAGTGGCCTCTAGAATCAGTTTCCAGCTCCTCAACTTCAGTGTCATCGTCTTCCAGATCATGAAATGCATCCAAATCATGATGTTCTGGCAGTTTATCGTAGTTGATCTTAGCATCCTTTTTTGATTGCATATAGTCCTTTAGCAACTTTTTGACATCTTCTGGGCATTTCAAATACGCCTTTGCATTCCTATCACCTCCTATTTGGTGAAGTTTTGCCCTGTATATTCCCCCATTTGTTTCCTTTCCATGGTAGATGCAAGTTACTGCATTTTGATTGTTTGGGTCAGCACAGTAGTTGTGATTCCAAGCTGGGTCATTTTTTGTTGACTTAGCAGCTTCAGAAGTCATGGCTGGAGTACCACCTTCCATGTCCTGTAAAAAATACACAATGACGGATGACCACAAGGCATGTTAAGCATACAACATACTAATATACTATAGTACAATACTAACTGAAGCATGTTAAGCATAGTATGTTTGGGGACTGCAGTATGTTACTTAAGCATATGAGGACTGCGGTACATAAAAAATAAATTTACTTAAAAAATAGTATGTTACATGTCCTGACTTATATATGGGGACTGCAGTACATAAAAAATAAATTTACTTAAGCATGTTAAGCATACTTAAGCATACTAACTGAAACATACTAACTGAAACATAGTTAAGCATACTACTTTTGTTTTCTTCTCTTAAGGGCTGGCCAAATGTATAGCATGCTGTTTGGATGAGTGTTATATGTTGATTTTTTTAAATATTATATAAAATGACAGCATGCATTTGTTCCCTTCTAGAGTGCTTGGCCATGTGTATATGTATCTTTATATGTGTAACATGCATTCCATACCATATTTCAAGTTGTAGCAATGTGTCCATACGTACGTACAACATTATGTGACTAGTGGGCAAAATAATCTAGCATCTTCATTTATTTTTCCTTGATATTACCAAAATTAACTTGTTACTATATTTTTATTACATAGTTATTACATAGTTATACAAGGTGACGCATTTGGGGGTCGAAATCTTTATTAATGTGGCGAGTGCGCTGCAGGTCAAGTATCAAAGTATGGGAGGACAATTGGATACCTGGAGATCCATCTGTTAGACAGCCTAACCTGGCAACGAAGGAGAGCTTATGGAAGGAAAGCCACTGATGACCCAACATACCCCGTGTGTGCAGGTATGAATTGTAAAGTATGACCATGTCCGCAATAGAACTATATATGGGACTGGGCTATGAAGAATTTGAGTCAAGGGATTTGTAGCTTCATAATTAATTGTTGGGTTGTGTGGCTCTGTCCAAACAAGGTGGTTTTTGAGCAAAAAGAACGACAAGCAGAGCTGATCCTGATGAGATTCAATCAATGTCGAAGATTTTCAAAAATATGTTTCAAAAGTTTACAAAGGGCCAGAATCATACTCGAGTAATAACCTTGAGAAGTGGAATAAACCATTTTCAATATTGGTCTCATTTGAAAGATCATGAAAAATAAAGAATGTTGATATAAATTTTATAAAAATTGGATCAAAAATAAAAAATTTATTATCATTTTTTAACAACAAAAACAAAAAAAAAGCACCATGTTGAGTCGTTTTGCAACCGGGCGCACCATTCTCACGGTGCGCCCGTTGCACCGTATAATTTGCCCATTTTAATACACTTCCATTTCGTTTCCAAAAAATCTCAAGTGTATGGATTGTATTTGTTGGAAAAATGTGTTAAAATTGCATTAAATGGTCTTTTTGGGGCAATTATTTGAGTGGGGTCCACTTCCGATTTGGGTCGGATCAAAGTGGTTTCGGATTGTCCTTGTTAAGGGCTACAATTCGATATATGGTACGCTCAAAACGGATAACGGGTGAATGAGAAATTGATTCTCGAAGTTCACTCGTTGAAATGGAAAAACTGGGAAAATGATGAGTTTCTAGTGTGTTTTATCCCACACCAAAAAACTCAAAGGATTTTCACCCCCTTATAAAGGGAAGCCTCTTTTAAGGAGTTAAGATTCCTAAGGGTAAAGGCTCTCTCTTACGCGCAAGGGGGGGGGGGGTGCCGATCAAATCCCGAAACAGAGAAAAAAAACTGCGACTCGTGTGCGCGGGCGACCTGCGGACACGAATGTCGTCCGAAAAACCGCGACTCGTGTGCTGATCTGGTGGCTTCGCATCAGAGTTGCTCCAACTCTGGTGGAGGTCTTCTGGTAGCATCTGAACTGCTCCAACTCTGGTGGAGGTATTCTGATCGCGCACCAGAACAGCTCCAACTCTGATGGGGGTATTCTGATCGTGCACCAGAACTGCTCCAAGCCGTTACAACCATTAAATGCCCAACGTTCTTGTCTTTTAATGCAACGTTAAATGGACAGTTTATGGATGATTCAATGCCCAACGGACTGGTCATTGAAGTCCAACGTTCAGGTCCATTAACACCCCATTTAACACACAACAAATCCTCCTATAAATAGCTGGCAGGTGCTTTGCAACAAACACACGGTTTGACACAACACACAATACATTTCTCACGTATTCTTGAGCTAAAAACACCTACAGCTACTCCCAAATTTCCTCTGTGTTCATACTTGGTTCTCGTTCGCTGGAACTCTTGTTTGTGTGCTCAAACATTAGTTCGTAGTCATCGTATCCTGGGAAACGATTGTTGCAACGCTCCTAGCACCGTGGGAGGCAACAAATACGTTTTAAGGAAATCGTGCGTAGCACGAGCTTTGACTAATTCTGCTTCATCTCCTTTCTTGTTTTCCTCTAGTCATTTTATTTAATTAATTTATTTTAATTAATTATCTTTATTTTCCGAAACACACCCTACAGTATTTATCTCTCTTTTGAGATAGTTATAAGATACGGAGTATATATGTAATTTGTACAATTTCATATATTTTCATTCAATAACTAGTATAGTACCCGTGCATACACACGGGAAAAAATAGTAGTTGCATATATTTTTATTTATTATATAATTAAATATTAAAATAAAAATAACTTTATAGGATTCTACATTTTCGGAAAATAAGAATAAAATAAGCTAATATTGTAAAGAATAAACTCATACACTAAATATTCAATGAAGAGTATATAGGAAACTAATTAACACCACTTATTAGAATTTGTACTTATTAATTTTTATGATTAAATTAACTTTAAATTAATGAATACGATAATGATTGAAATTAATGAATATTACGTATTAGTTAAATAATAACTTGCTAATCATTAGGTAAATTAGTGTTAGCATTTGAGAAAGGAAATTATTATGTTCAATTCTTACTCGGTGAATCTTATACAAAAAACTACATATGAGAGAAAATATTTCACTCAATTGTTAGCCAGATTAACTTATACCTAAAAGCATTACGTATGAAAGACAAAACTTTACTACTTAATTGTTAGCCAGCTTATCTTAGACTTAACAGAACTACTTATAAGATAATTTCTCATCTCAATTGTTAGCAAGTTTATCTTCTAATACATAAGAGACTACATATGACAGATAAATCCTTCTCACTTAATTATTATCAAACTTATCTTGTTATATCTAGAAACACTACATATGAGAGAGAAAATTATCCTGTTCAATTGTTAGCCGGTTTATGTTATTATTATACAAAAAAGAATTACATATAAGATAAAATTTTCCACTCAATTGTTAGCCGGATTAACTTATACCTAAAAGCACTATGTATGAGAGACAAAACGCTACGGCTTACTTGTTAGCCGGCTTATCTTATACTTAAAAGAACTACTTATATGAGAATTTCTCCGCTCGAATATTAGCAAGTTTATCTTCTAATACATAAAACACTACATACGTGAGAAAGAAATTTTCCCGCTCAATTATTAGCAAACTTATCTTGTTAGACCTAAAAGCAATACAAATGAAAGAAAAAATTATCTCGCTCAATTGTTGTTAGCTTATCTTATACTTATAAGAACTACATACCTATGTGAAAGAAAGTTATTTCACTCAATTGTTTGCAAGTTTATCTTGTGTAATACAGTAATACCTGATAGCACAACATATGAGAGAGAGAAATCTCTCACCCAATTCCCTTGTTCAATTATTGCAAGTTTATCTTCTAATACCCAAAAGCACTACATATATAAGAGAGCAAATTTTCCTGATCAATTATTATCAAGTTTATTTTCTTATACCTAAAACCACTACATATGAGAGAAAGTTCTCTCACTCAATTGTTAGTCGGCTTACCTTATATCTAAAAGCACTACATATGAGAGAGAAAATACTTCTCCTCATTTGTTAGCCGACTTATCTTATACTTTAAAAAACTACACATAAGAGAACAAGATCTTTTGTTCAATTGTTATCACACTTATGTTCAAATATCTAAAAGCACTATATATGAGAGAGAAAGCTCTTCCTCTCAATTATTAGTTAAATTAGTGTTAGCATATGAGAAAGCAAATTACGATGTTCAATTCTTACTCGGCGTATCTTATACAAAAAAACTACATATGAGAGAAAAAAATTCACTCTATTGTTAGCCGGATTAACTTATACCTAGAAGCCCTACGTATGAGAGACAAAACTTTACTGGTTTTCTTATACTTAAAAAAACTACTTGTATAATAATTTCTCCTCTCAATTGTTAGCAAGTTTATCTTCTAATACATAAAAGACTACATATGATAGAGAAATCTTTCCCGCTTAATTATTAGCAAACTTATCTTTTTATAGCTAGAAACGCAACATATGAGAGAGAAACTTCTCCCGTTCAATTGTTAGCCGGCTTATGTTATTATACCTAAAATCACTACATATGGGAGTAAAACATTTCTCGCTCAATGGTTAGCTAGTCTTATACAAAAAGTAATTACCTATAAGATAAAAATTTCCACTCAGTTGTTAGCCGGATTAACTTATACTTAAAAGCACTATGTATGAGAGACAAAACTCTACGGATTAATTGTTAGGCGACTTATCTTATACTTAAAAGAACTACTTATATGAGAATTTCTCCGCTCAAATGTTAGCAAGTTTATCTTCTTATACATAAAACACTACATGTGTGAGAGAAATTTTTCCGCTCAATTATTAACAAATTTATCTTGTTATACCTATAAAGCAATACCTATGTAAAAGCAAAATTATCTCGCTCAATTGTTGTCGGCTTATCTTATGTTTATAAGAACTACCTATGTGAAAGAAAGTTATTCCACTCAACTGTTAGCAAGCTTATCTTGTATAAGAATACCTAATAGCACAACTACATATGAGCGAGAAATCTCCCATCCAATTCCCTTGCTCAATTATTGCAAGCTTATCTTCTAATACGCCGAAGCACTACATAATACATATATGAGAGCGAAATTTTTGGGTCAATTATCATCAAATTTATCTTCTTATACCTAAAAATACTACATATGAGAGAGAAAGTTCTCTCAGTCTATTATTAGCCGGCTTACCTTATTATTATTATTATACCTAAAAGCACTACATATGAGAGAGAAAACACTTCTCCTCACTTGTTAGCCGACTTATGTTATACTTTAAAAACTACATAAGAGAAAAAATCTTGCGCTCAATTGTTAGCACGCTTATCTTCAAATATCTAAAAGCACTATATATGAGAGAGAAAACCCTTCCGCTCAATTGTTAGATGGATGATATGATACCTAATAGCAGAGAAAATTCTCTCGCTTAATTGTTAGCCTCCTTAATAACGACATAAATCTTCTTATATACCTAAAGTCTTATACCTAAAAACATTACATATGAGATAGAAACTATCTCACTTAATTGCTAGCTGGCTTATTTTATATTTAAAAGCATTACATGTGAGAGAAATAATTATCCGACTTAATAACGACATAAATCTTCTTATATACCTAAAGTCTTATACCTAAATATTTAGCCGACTTATCTTATCTTATCTTATACTCAAAAGCACTACATGAGTAGAGCAATGCTCACAAGTTCAATAATTTAAATTTTTATATATTCAATATTGGTCTCATATGAAAGATAACAATAATTATGAATTTTGTTGTATTTTTTATAAAAATTAGAGTAAAAGTAAAAAAGTTACTCCATCCGTCCCATATTTATCTTCACAAGTACAATTGGCACACATATTAAGATAGTGGGAAATGTGTGGTGGAGAGTTGTGCATAGGAAAGACAAATGTGTAAGAATGTGTAAAAATGATTGTGAACCACAAATTCTTTGCTAAAAAGGAAAAGAAGAGATAAATTTGGAACAGACCGAAAAGGAAAGAATGAAGATACGTTTTAAGATTCTCAATCTCTTTACTGTTAAAGGTGATTTTATTTATCGGAAATAATAATAGTAATACTCTCTTCGTCCCATAGAACATGTTTTTAGTAATCCTATTTTTTGGCTTAACAGGTTTATCAACCATTTTTTCATCAAACATGTATTTTTTTATTTCATGCACTGCATTGAATTTACTGTAGAGCACCATTTTAGCTATTTTATATAAATTTTTCTTCAATTTCATGAATATGAAGAATCAACCACTCCGGCCCTTCTATCAGATGTTCATATATTTCAGCAGAATCAATTGATTCAGTCAATTTTGGTATTACCAAATGGGCTCTAAGAAAGTGAGAATAAAGTGGAAATGTGAGGTTGTTGTTGAGTATTACGTAGTACTTGAAAACACTTATTTCAATTTTTTAAGCCACAAGCTGAAAAGTACTTTTTAATCTCTTGCAAACACTTCCTTAGTAAGCCAAAGTTTTATATTCTATATCTCCGTAATTCGTATTTTTATAAAGACAATAAAATAAATTTAAAAGATGAAGCCGCGTAGCATAAGTAGAGCAATGCTCTCTAACACTGATAGATAGACATGTTGCATAATAATTGGGGCAAAATAGTATTTTAATAACCTGCTACTTTGTTATACTACCTTCACCCCATAAAACATTGTAAACTTTCAATTTTCGGTCATCACAAAAAACATTATCATTTCCACTTAAAGTAAGAAATATGTGGTTAACATTATTTCTCACTTATCTACAAAAATATCAACTACACAATTTTTATTATATTATTTTTCGTGCAAGTTAATTTTGATCAAGTTTTTAGGGAAAAGAGGGAGTATAAATAAATATAAATAATTTTAAGCATAGTTATTGAGACCGTTGTTAAATTATATTTTTATATATTCAATATTGATCTCATATGAAAGATCACAAAAAAATATGAATTTTGATATATTTTTTGTGAACATTGGAGCAAAAATGATAAAGTTATAACACTTTAAAAAAATCTGAGATTTTTGTATAACTTGGGCCCCACCAAACTCTATCTCCCTTGGCTGCTCTCTAGTTGTTATACCGTGAGAGCGGTGCAGGGTGAGCATCCTGCTCCCAAGGTTATATGTAATGTAAATCATGTTAATTCACGTGTAACTTCAAGTTTATCAAGATGTAAATTACACTCATTCAAATGTAACTCATTAAAATGTAAAATGTTTTGATTCAAATGTAACTTGGGAACAAGTCTGATATAATTTGTGAATGTAACTTTAGCCTATTCAAATGTAACTTGAGAACAAGGACATGTAACTTGTGAAATCAACATCCAGGAGAATGAAAAAATTCAGATTAATCTGAATTGGAGTAATACTGCATCAAATCAAAAGAATTTGCTTTCAATTTTAAAATGATTATGCATAAATCTTCCTAGAGGACATGGAGGAGGAGGAGAAGAAATAAGAAGAAAACTTACCATTCAGTTATTTCCAATAGCTTCAGAAATTTAGAGGTTCTTCCTCCATTAATGGAGACAGGAGTTCTATGAGTAGAATTTCAGTTCAGGAGCAAGTGTGCCATATTCGGACAGAGATGGACCTTCGATCAAGCTCATCAATTTTTTAATACTCCGTATAAAACTACACCGTTTTTGGGATCGGGCACACCGTACGTCCTCATGGTGTGCCGATCCCAGGATATAAAATGCGGCTGCTCTTCCTTTCCTTCATTCGTAGCTTTGAAGTAAAAGAGTCTCCACGTGTCATTGTTATAGTTAAAGAGAAAATTATGGAGAGATAGACACGTTGGATTAATGAAGGGTAAAAGTGTTTTTAATGAGCTATTTCTTTTCTTATATATAAATAGATATACATCAACTCTTTATCATTATTATTAATAATTTATAAGATAATTAATATACGAAGTTTTAAAAATCATGTACAAACATGAGATGTCGTTGCAACTAAGACAAACGAAATTTAGTAGTCCCTATGTATTAGGCTATTAGCGCTTGTGAGTATTAATGAAATGTTGTATTAATAGTGTCTAGTTTTAGTGCTTGCAACTAGACTAGTTAATAATGTATTTAATACTTTAATTAGGTTTTCTATATGTAGTAGGCCGGTTTCCTAATGTATTTTGGACACTAATTTGTTATATATATAATTTTCCACGTTCTTTAAAAGTTGCAACATTAATATTTTTATACTATTCGCACACCTTACTTTGACTACGATTTTATAATAATATGTACTCCGTATAATCAAACAATTATGTATAAAATATTACTTCCAAAATATTAACTTTTTTTAATGTTTACTAGTACATAATTAAATATAAATACAACCAAAGTTATGCGTTGACAAACGTGAAAGTCAAAATGTTGCAACTTTTAAAGAACGTATGATAGTATATGACACCTATGACGATCATATTAGTTAGCCTTTCCATTATTCTCACGTGGTACAAGAGTTCTATGGTTTTAACCAGTTTAAATCATTGCCATGGCTTCTCTGAATACTTCCACCACTGCCACTGATGCAAACTCCGCCACCACCGCGTAAACCACATCGGCGGATGAGACGCCGATCATGAGCGCGACACAAATGCGCCCCACCTCCTCAGCGCCGCTACAGACACTTGTCGTTCCTGACGATGTGTTGATCTCCCCGCTATTATATTCCTCATGGGTGCCGCCGATCTTTATGTGGACACCAACGCTGCCAACACTAAATCCGCCTCCGCTATTCGCTACTGAGACGCAGACCGAGACGAGTGTGGCAGCTGCAGCTCGAGCGCTCTTCGCCGGTCAAACGTTATCTGGCAGCCCAGGGCTGCTTCTGTCGAATGCTTCTGGGACACTCAGCAACCGCCCGGTGGATAGTTCACTGCCAGTCTCGTTTGCTACTTTGGCTCAGGGTATGACCTGTGGGTCTTCAATTACACAGAGTGTGACCTCAAAATTATTGGCGGTTGAAGATCTCTTGGGCATTCTTGACGGGTCTCTTCCAGCTCTGTCTCTTTATACCTATGATTTATATTAGGCTCAATCTATTAATCTTGAATATTATCATTGGTTCAAACCGGACTAAACTATTCGTGCATGGCTATTTGCTACTCTCTCTCGTGAAGTTTTAATTGATGTTCACACCCTGAAAAAATTCTACGACCATATGGCAAGGTTTGGAATCCCGATTCATGGCTGCTAGTCTAGCCCGCAGAATTAAAATACATGATGGCTCATACTACGAAGAAGGAAAATCAGTCCATGGAGGAGTACGTTTGTGGGATCCAGGCAATTGCAGATTCCCTAGTCTCCATTAATTCTCCGGTTTCCAATGCTGATCTTATTTAATGTACACTTTTGAGCTTGGGACCGGGATATGAGTCACTTGTGGGGGCCCTTACCTTGTTTTCTGAAGGTCTCATCTTTGACTCATTATGCACAAAATTAGTCCATCAAGAGGCCCACCTAAGTTATCAACAATCCATGGAAACCACAGTTGGTGCTCCGTCTTGCTCTGCATCTTCATTGACAGGGGGTGTACCTGCGGCTTCCTCTTTTGGCGGGCAACAGCAACAGACTCGTGGGGGTCCCGGCCTACGGAGCGGTCACCGGGGCAGGGCCGCCGAGGGCGCGGACGATACCAGCAGCAGCAGGTCTTCGGCCAACCTCCCCCATACTTCGGTCAGGGACCACAGCACCACCAGCAGACATCTTCGGGGCGGGGAGCTAATCAACAAAATAATTGGGGACTTGGTACAGTTTTTTGTAATACCGTTAAGTCATTTTCTTATACTCCTTCCCTCTCTACTTTTTGTACTAACTATGCTTCTGCAGGATCTCTATCTCTTGACGATAGTTTTGGTTTAGTTCCTCCACCTGTCCTCTGTCAAATATATCATTCTCCAGGTAATTCAGTTGTTTCGTGCCCTTCTCGTTTTGTTCAAGCTCAAGCTCCTGCTTTGGTTGTATCTATTGGTGAATCCGCTCCAGCTATTTAGTATCCTAACTCAGGTGCTTCTGCTTATATGACCTCTATTTTGGAAAATAAATTTATTTATTCTGGACCTCTAACTGTTACTGTTGCAAATGGATCTGATTTACCTGCTATGAATGTTGGTGATTTGCATTTATCTACTCTACCATGGTCTCTCCATTTAAAATATGTTTATAATGTTCCTCATCTTAAATATAATTTGCTCTCCATTCAATGATTATGTGCTGATAATAAATGTTTTGTGATTTTTGATAAAATTAAGTCTATGTTTAGGACACAATTTCGGGAAAGGTGCTCCTTCAGGATTCTAATAATGGTGGGTGTTTACCCTATTTTCTTTCATCAGTTGCTCAGCTCTCATGTTGCTCCCGGACCAGTCTAGCATCGTTGTTTGAGACATTGTGGCAGTCGTATTTTAGATAAACTTGAAAAGTCTAAGACTATTCTTTGTACTTCTAATTTTCCCCATGATTGTATTTTTTGTCAGTTAGGAAAATCTCAACGATTACATTTTCATGAAGTTTGGCATAAATCTACTGTTCCATTATTTTTAATTCATTCTGATGTTTGACAATCCACTGTTCTGTCTGAGATTGGTTTTAAATATTATGTTTTATTCATTGATGATTTCACTCGTTTTACTTGGCTCTATCCTATGCGCAATAAAAGTGAAGTTGTGAGACATTTTCAACATTTAAAATTAATGGTGAAAATTTTACTTGACTCCAACATAAAAAAATTTCAAAGTGATGGAGGGGGTAAATTTGATAATCATGGTATGCGTGATATTTTTCTCCAGCATAGTATTTTTTTCGAAAATCTTGCCCAGATACTCCTCAACAAAATGGAGTTGCTTAGAGAAAACATCATCATCTTCTCGAATTAACCCGCACTATTCTTTTCGAGACAAAGATGTCGGCTAAGTTCTTGGTTGACGCTGTGTATACCGTTACCTATATTATTAATTGTCTCCCTACTCCAAATTTAAATGGTGCTTCTCATTTTGAAAAATTATTTCACCATTCTCCCGACTTCTCTTTTATGTGGGTATTTGGTTGTGTTGGTTTTCCAAATTTTAATGCCACTTCTACCAACAAACTTTCTCCCAAATCCACATTATGTATCTTTTTAGGATATGCCTCTGAGTACAAAGGTTACCGTTGCCTTGGTACTGTTACTGACAAAATTTACATCAATTAGAATGTTCGTTATCATAAAAACTATTATTCCGATTCCGACTTGATTTCTTCTTTAAAAAAACTGACTTGCCATCAATGTTTTCGGTCACCTCTGTCGGCTTACGTGAGAACTGCCTTCCCTCTAACACGCCTTCCCCTTCACCGCACCTCGGTCGTCGTTTTTCCGCCAGCAGACCACCTTCCTCCAACCACTGCCACATACCCCCACACGATCAGCCAGCTTCGCCACCAAATTCGAGCCCACAGCCCTCTACCCCGTTGCCCATGTTAGAAAGATGTGTTAAAAATTGCATTAAATGTTTAATTTTGGGCAATATTTTGAGTGGGGTCCACATCCAGTTGGGTCGGGTCAAAGTGATTTCAGATTGTCCTAGTTAATGGCTACAATTCGATGTTTAATTTAGGGCAATGTTTTTCTTTTGCTATTTTAATTAATTTTAATTAATTTTTTTTTTTCGAGAACGCACCCAACAGCTCCAGCTCCAACTCAACTACCATGGATGCTTCGCCATCCCTCTCCATCACCACACCTCCCAGTAGTTTGTCCGAGCCTTCTCTTCCACCAGCACCTTCCCATACCAATTGACATTCTATGCAAACCCGTGCTAAATTAGGCATTTTAAAACCGAAATCTATTTTTAATCTTAAAACATATATTTCGGCATGTGATCCTTCTTGTTTTTCTATGGCAAATAAAAATTCTAAATGAAGAGCTATTTTGGCGGAGGAGTTTAATACACTTATTGATGATCATACTTAGGAATTAGTTCCATTTAACTCTCGTAAAAATGTGATTGGGTCTAAATGGAATTAAAATTAAAATCCCCCATAAAAACAAAAAACAGTTCCGTTCTTATTTTTAATAGGAACGGAAAGTATATTTTAATAGTTTAGTCTTTTTCTAGGTTCCACTAATTTTGTTAGTCGAATCAAACTGGCCCTAGACTTGTTTCATAGCTAGTTTTAATCATATTGATACATTAAATGATGTGAATTAATTATACGTATATAATTAAAATAAAAGTTGTTTACAAAAATTTTAAATCTTAAGTGTAATGATTATAAGGGTGTTTTCTTTTGACGGGAATTTCCTGATCGAGTCTGGTCTGGTCTAATCTGCTAAATGTCTGGTCACTGTTTATTTTATAACTACGGAAATTTGGTCTGGTCCGGTCTGACACTGAAAAAAGTCCAAAACAAAGCATCCTAATAATAATTAACTTTAGTTTTAGTATTTTATGTTCAATATTTTCACTTAAGTGACCCTGATATTATAATATATAGTTTTAGTTAATTACATATGTGTAAATATGTTTTGCTTAAGTAATATTTTTGCCACAATGGCAATTTAGTATGACGCGCAATTTATATTTTTTTATGAATGGACCATTTGGGCTAACTTTGAGGGTTAGTTTTGAAAGTGAAAAAGAGAGAATTACTCAATTTTAACAAAACAATTTTAAATATTTATTCAAACTCTTGATTAAAGAACAAGAAACAAGTTTTTGTTATTTAATCAAACAATGATTTAATTCTCAATAAAGCAATTTTAGATATTTGATCATGCACAAAACATCAACTTAGGAATTAAGATGTTTTTAATTGCAAGATTTTTTTTTTGTTTTTAATTCTCAATGATTTAATTCTCAATTTTTTTCTGTTTAAATTTAGTATGGGCTAGTGAATCTTTTTTTTTCTAGTATCAACATTTGGTGTGATCTGACAGACTAAAATTTGTCCTCCAACAAAGTAGAGCAAAAGCATCTTATACGTAGTACTACGTATGTATTCCCTCTCTTTTTTAGTCGAAACTGTCGACATTTCACATTTGCCAACACACTTCTTTGACCGTAATTATATCTTAATTCTATTAGTAAAAAATATTAAAAACCAGATTTTGAAAATTTGTAATGAGATGAATTGAACAATATTTTTTTAAAAAAATGGTTTTCTTAAAATAATTGTGTAAAATGTCTTTAAAGTAGAGCATGCGAATAGTGTAAAATTCAACATATTGCTATTAAAACAGAACGTAAGATAGTACTCCGTAAAATTCAAAATGTAAAGATATAATTGGAAGGCAAATAACTGAAGTTGGTAATACCTTAATAGTGGGGCTCAACCCAAACATCTTGTATTACAACATGTCGTTAACACGGAGTATAATTTATGTAATAAAGTTATACTACCTCCGTCCCATTAAACTAGATTTGAGACAAGAGAAGGTGACACAATTATTAAGAAAAGTCATTTGTATTGTGATATTATATTGATAAAGTAAGTAAAAAGTAAGAACGGTTTATAGACACACAAACTTTATCAAATTTAGTATGAGACAATCTTAGTAAGATTTCTCGAAAAGATAAAATGGGAAAATCTTAACGGGACGGAGGTAGTAATACCAAAAATGGGATCATAGTTATTCTGTAACCCTTTTCTTGTATCACAAGGTATATGTTTTCAAGACACAAACTATAATACAAATATTTCATAATTTAAGAGATTAACATGATTATAATTTCATTCTTGAAATGCGGCTGTATTTTTTTTATTTAATTTTCTAACATTGTCTACTTTTTTTTAGTACATTTAGATTATGAGATTATTTTCATATTTATACTCCGTGTATATCACGTTCATGTTTACTTTGTATTCACATAAACCTTTGCATCCAATTAGGATTCAATTTAAATCCTAATTTGTATTCAAGATTTGGACAAAAGTTATATTTATTTATTAATTATAGAATAAAAAATTATAATTTCATATGTGTAATCATGGGCGGCCCTAGGGACAGGGGCCGTAGGCCCAAAAACAATGAAAAAAATTATGCATATGTAATTTAAATACCCCAAACTTTATGCATACAGTTATTTTAGCACCATAGTCAAATATTATTTGTTTCGAAAATGTAAATTTGGGATGTTAATTGCATAATTAAAGATATTTTAGCATTCATGAAGACACAATCAACGTTCTAAACTTCCATTGTGAAATAAATAATATTAGCCCTATTCTTTATACTGAAATAAATAATATTACCCCTAAACTTTATGCAACGTTTTCTTTTGAGTGAAAGTTGCTGATCTGGTCTAGTCTAGTCAGCTAAATGTCTGGTCACTATATATTTTATAACTACGGAAGTTTGGTCTGGTTTGGTTTGAACAAAATAGAGCAAATGCATCTTATACTACCCTCGCCTCGAAAAGTTTCGTCATATTGATTTTTTTTGTCAATGATGAAAAAATTTGGACAATGATTTTAATTATTGTATTTGTATACGTAGTATAATTTATAAATATTATACTTTTATCAAAATATTTTGAAAATGGAATGTTTTGATATAATTTGCATACACTCAAAATAATTTCGTATTAAAAAATATCATTGAGCAAAGTTGATTGTCATTACCTAAGAAAAGTTAATTTGACGAATCTTTTCGCGACGAAGTAGCATGTATATAATTGGAAGGCAAACAACTGAATTTGGTAATAGTGGGGCTCAACCCAAACATCTTGTATTACAGCATGTCATTAACACGTTGTATAATTTATGTAATAAAGTCACTTCGTTCCACTAAGATTGAGACAAGAGAAGGTAACACAATTATTAAGAAAAGTGATTTGTATGGTTGATATTAAATTGATAAAGTAAGAATAAAGTACTAATGGTTTAGAGGCACACTAATTTACTAAATTTAGTATGAGACAATCTTAGTGACATTTCTCGAAAAGGTAAAATGAGACAATCTTAACGAGATGGAGAGAGTAATACCCAAAAATGGAATCGTAGTTATTCAGAAACGCTTTTCTTTGTATGACAAGGTATGTGTTTTCAAGACACAAGCTTTAATACATAGGGAGTACTAAATTTCGTTTAGTCCAAGTTACGACGAGATCTCATTTTTATACTGATTTATAATATGTTAACTAATTATTAGTAATAAAGATTAAAGAGTAGATATAGATTGAATCAAAATATTTGAAGTTAACAAACTACGTACTCCGTATCTATCAGTCAAAAGAGGGATAAATGCAATAGATTTGGAAACAACCGTTTGATTAATAATATCCCTTAGGAGATCTGGGAGATGTAAAAAATATATGATAATTTCCCGAGTATATATTTTTGGAAACAAATGGCGGTCTAATTAAATGGCGGTCTAACCGATACTATATAATAGTAGGGTGTGCAATACTTGGAGTGCAAAAAATCACAATGGCGGCCACTTTCACCATTAGAAGCATGAGAGCCTTTCCCCACCCTGACCCCGCCGCCAATGTCATCGGATTCCGCTTGCTCGTCAATGAAACGCCGCCGGGTGTCGCCGCAGTCGTCCGCACTGTGCGGGACAACCGTGTGAAAGTCCCGTTCCATCCCGGCAATGATATGTCATCCTGGGGAAGCGCGTTCAGCTTCATCGCCTCCAATTTGGAAGAACACTTCGGTCTGGAATTCTGGGACTCCTTCCAACTGGCGAACTATATGGTTCCCTTTGCTCTGTCCAACGTCCGGGACCGTCCTTGCGGCCTGATCCTCAGCAACGTCATTGAGGCGACTTTCACAACCCCGTCACAACCTCCGCCGCCGCAGGATGCTCTGTTTCTTGATGACACTTTGGTTTTCAACGCCGGCGATGTCTCACAATTTGCGGCCGCCCCTGCCCCTTTTTTGCCGGCCGGATGGAGTTCTGGGATAGAGACGACTTATGCCCCGCGGCTGCAGCACCAGGATGCTCTGTTTGTGGACGGCGGTCTTGTTTTCAACAGCTTTGCCGATGACCCATATTTCCTGGCCGCCGTTTCCCCACCTTTGCCGGCAGAAGGTATGTCGGAGAATGAGATTTCAAGCATAAAGACAGAGGCTTTTGGTAGCGGAAAAGGCGAGGCTTGTAGTATCTGCTTAGATGATTTTAGGGCAGGGTCGGCGGTCATATCTCTATCGCCATGTTCCCACAAATTTCACAAAGGCTGCATTGCCAAGTGGCTGCGGAGAAGAAGGACCTGTCCGATGTGCAGAACAGTTGCCTTAGTTTCTTGAAACAAAACCAGAAAATATTCAATTAGTTTAACAGATTCTTATTCCTGGATTTTGTGAATCCTATTTTTTTGTAAAGCCTTGGCTGCAATATACGAAGTATATATATAGAGTGCTCTAATTTGTAGTTTTTATCAGATTGTTAACTCAAATTATGATATATATTCTCAACTTATATACATATATATATTTTAACATGAACTGATCTCCATGTTTACTTATTTCGAGTATTCAACCGGTTTTGATAGTAGTATGATAAGAGAAAACTCTTCTCTTTTTGTCTGCAGTTTCTTGTTCACAGATTTTGGAATTTGAAGTGTTTTTTTTTTGCAATCCTTAAGGCTATATATCACCCTTAACCTTGTAGCAGTAATGACAAATATCAAAGACTACCTTAATCAGACAACATAAGTATATTTGGAAGATTTAGTAGTTACTCTTAAACTATATAGATACTCATGCCACTTCATTTTTTTAGAAATTATATTGCAGCTCTATTTCAAAAAATACCTATAGGCTATAGATAGGAAAAGATTGGGGTTTTAGTTAACACTAAATAAGTACTAATTAAAAGCAACACAATGTAAACTTCTCATATATTGGTCATTGGAAGTTCTGTCCTAAATCATCCGTCGGTATAGTTTCTATATTATTTTACAAAATCAATGCTGTCACATTGAATTACTGTCAAACCATATGTATATAATGCGCAAAATAAAGTCTAGTTTGTGTTAACTTATTGTGTATTTCACATATTGAAACTTAACAAAAAAAGATAATGTGCATGGTGCTATCAATATTTTTAGCCTGTAAAGAAATGTTACTAAATTGAAGTTGTAACAATATAAAAATCACATAATATAACATATTTCAGTGTTGAGTGTCGATCGGTGTGTTATTAAGTCATGCATACTTTGACATTAAAAGAGTGCTTTTGGCCTACAAATTCAAATTTTATTAGATTCCGCTAAGTTTTTTTTAATGTAAGATTTTGCTAAGCTTTAGAAATGGATAATGCAAGTTGAGTTCGACAAGTATTTTATTCCTTGTCTATGCTTGCTATTCTACTAAACTGTTTGGACTTCGATTTCTCGTGACATGCATAAAACTACTAAACATTGAAACACAAAGTTTCACGTGGTGGAAAAAGAAAGTTGCTTCTAATGAAGGTATAATCATTTAAGTAGCGATTTTATACATAAGTTTAATCATTTATCAAAAAAAGATAAAGGCATAATCATTAAGTAGCGATTTTATACATAATTTTAATAAAAAAAATTAAAAAATGATAATAAAATAGAAAGAAAATAGAAAAGTTAGAATTTTTAAATTAAGGTTGGGCTAAACATAATTTTATTTATGTATATGAAGCGTATAAAAAACTATGAATTAGAAAATTTTGAATGGTCTGATTGGCTGTTTAGATAAAAATTTTAATTGCAACTATAATTACCCTTGCTTGTATGAATATCTAAATAAAATGCATTGGTCTAATTTTGAAGTACTACTTGGGACGGAGATAGTACATTATTAAAGTGTACTACAATTGTTGTAAGGGTGAATCTTTTTTCAAAAAAGGAACGAGACAATTAATTTGAGTTTTTCCCGGAATAATGCTAATTCAATAAATTATTCCCGAAATACTGTCGGTTCAAAAATAATTCTCGAAATACTGTTGGGGTTAATCATGGTTAAGCAAAGCCGCCACTCGAAGTGACGGCTCTTCATCGTGCTATACAAAAGCCGTAAGTTGAAGTGGCGGTTCTTCTATACGTATACAAAAGCCGCCACTTCAAGTGACGGCTCTTGTGTTTAGCAAGCTGCTGAACTATTAATTACACAAATGAACCTGTAGTTACCAGAAAATCTGCTTATCACAGTCCATTTACTCAAACAAACAACCAAACATATGATTTACTAAGACAAAATACATTTGAAACACAAAACGAATCAATGAAAGTCATTGCATCACGACACTTGAAATATATAAGACATAAAAGTTATAATAAATCCGGTGTTTCACAAAATGATTCGATCTGCTAGTGTATGTTACAACTCTCACACAATAATACAAATAAAAAGATCATAAGTCAACGTGATCATCATCATTATGAAGTTCATGTGGTTGTGGCTGTGCTCGGGGGCGCCTCGCTGGTTACGAGGCTGAAGAACAACTATATCACGTCGGACTGCCTGAGAAGACCCTGTTGTGTGTGCGGATGCGGTGGAATACTGAGAGTCAGTCATATATCCATAATCTACTCGACCCAATACATCAGTGCACAGAGCAACAATGCCCGAACAAGCTAGCCTCATGGTATTCCCGTACATCTACTGCCTCATCGAGTACATCAGTCGCTCTGTCATGGATGCTACGCAAAGCCCGTGGCTGTAATACAAACATGGTTATTAGTGAAAAACAAATGAATAAATAAATAAAGTTATTTTAGTGACTATTGTTTACCGTCATATGAAGAGCGACCGAGCTAGGCTAGTAATGATCAATGGGTAGACGAAAACTGGGAGAGATGAACACTCGTGTGATGGTGTAATACCATCTCATGTAATCTGCAGAGGCTGTAGGGACTAAGGATGAGGTCCCGTGCACTATATACGTCGCTCTCTCATCCCACATAGTGATATACTGAATATGACGCATCCCCCAATCTTCAGTGTGCTTCCCTCGTCTGTCAATCTTGTGTAAGTCCACAGATGTATCACAAGGTTCAGGAATAACTTGCTGCAACCCGAACTGTCGTAGTACGCGATCAGGAAAGTGATGCTCTACTACATCAAAACATATCAAGGGCACACGTGCTCGCCATATCTCAGTGTGCTCTCGGCCGACAGGAGGCAACAGTCCAAGAATCTCATAAGTGTACGGCATCCATGTCATCTATATAACAAAACAGTGTTACATCATAGTTTATAAAAACGTAAAACAAAGTACTTACATCTAATGATATACAAGATAAACCTGATCATCACACATGCGATCTAAAGCATCTCGGTAGTACCCTAATCCAGCGGCAGATGACGTGCGTGTGACGTGAGCAAATAGCCATCTGACACACAGTAATGCATAAGAATATAAAAGGGATTCACGTACGTCATACATAAATTTCAAAAAGAAAAATCATAAACGTACCTACGGCCCAAAGGGTCCTCGCCACGGACATGATGTGTCCCAAGTACAGATGCATCATGCTGATCCATAGCATCATCAAGAGGACCACCATCTACTCCATGATATCGCAGTATGACAGATCTGCCGATATGAATGTGCTCCCATGACCATAGCTGTACGAGCAATAAAAAACCACCCATCTATCCACTGTCACAATGGCAACCTCGACATAACTGCCAATATAGGTATGCTAAAGTCGCACTACCCCAACTATAAAGCGCTGCTACATCAAAAGTCTCTAGAATGGATAAATACAAGACCTGCACCTCATTACCGCTCTTGTCCGCAAATGTGGAGGCTCCCATAAGCATCAAAATGTAGGCTCTGGCGTACTGCTGCACAACAACGTCATCAGCATCAACATGTAAATCAGCAAAGTGTTGTCTCAACCAAGCCATCCTCAAGGCGGACCCTCGAATATCTGCAGAGAAGCGACTGGAAGTTGTACAACCCCTCCATGATTCATCAAATCCCGCAGGGAGGTCATCAACTTTAGTGTAGTGGCTGGATGGAGCATTGCACTTACGAGATCACCAACATCTTCATCTGAATCTGTTAGTGTGTCATGATTCACATTTTCATCTGCATCGTCGTCGATGTGCTGTGAATCCAGAAACGTTGCATCACTGGTCACGTATCTTCCATTCTCCTGTGCAACCATATTCATCACAACTGGAACACTTGTGGATGGGTAAAATAATGACAGGTTGTCAGGTTGTATGGGCATCATAGTCGCTTCTTCAACATATATCTCCATGGTATGCATAGCAAGATTCGTGATCAAGGTCCACATCCTCGTAACGGCTTCGTCGTCAGCAAGAGGCATCAACATGTATGACCCGCCATGAATGGGATATTTAACTTTCAAATCTAACTTGTTCATACGATTGATGGATGTGGCGGTATAAATTTTATTCATTAACTCAGCCACATCCACCCCATAGGAAACAACAATTATCTTCCAACTCCCCCCTTCATAACGAATTCCGTTCGACTTCTCGATTATATTTCCTCCCCAATGACACACAACGGGGAAGTTTGGAGACATATTCTATCAAAAATCATTCCAAAAAAATGTGATTTATGTCGCACATTGAAAACTCAACTACTAACTCAAACAAACTGTATTAAATCATATGTATCATTTTTATGATTTCATTCAATTACAAAATCTGATAGATACATATTAATGATGTGCTACATTACTCTTTTCCAAACTATCCGTATATCAAACTCAATCCAACCAACACAATAAAAAAATCAAATTCTACAAATTATATAAAATCAAGCATAATAACTAAATTACCAACTTATATATCTCATAACATCAAATACAAAAAAAATCCAAAAAAAGAGCGACTTTAGAACAAAAATTTAAAAAACTCTAGGTTTAGCAAAATAGATGAATTACCTCGATTGAAATAGTTGAAAGTCGGTAAAATGAAGCACAAACGACCTCGGGTACATCGTGTCTCTTTTCCCTTCGATTCAAAATCAATCCAACCAACACAAAAAATAATTCAAATTATACAAATTATATAAATTCAATCATAATAACAACATTAAGAACTTATATATTTCATAACATCAAATACAAAGAATAAAAATTAAAAAACCCTAATTTCGAACATTAAATTAAAAAAACCCAGGTTTAGCAAAAGTGGTGAAACACCTCGTTTCAAACATTTAAAAGGCACTAGAATGGAGCACAAACGACCTTGGGTACACCATGTCTCTTTTGCGTTTGATTTGAGCTTCCTTTGGAGGCGTTCCGGCCGGAATTGGAATCTCTTGTTCGTCGTTCGTCGTTCGTCGTTCGTGCAGAGGGAAGAAGGGGTGTTTTGCCGTCTGTGTTTGTCGGCTGGGAAGAAGGGAGGTTTTCTGCGAATTAATGAGCCGCCACTCGAAGTGGCGGCTTTTGTGATACAGGAGAAGAGCCGCCACTCGAAGTGGCGGCTTTTGTGAAGTTATACAAGAGACACCACTTCAAGTGGCGGCTATTCTTAACCG